GGACAGGGCCCAAGGGCTGTGAGAGTGGCTGGCTCAGGGGGGTGGGGAATGGGACATAGACCCTTTCCTTCTAGAGGGCGCCAGCTCCGATCTGGCCCCAGGATGCGGGGGGTGGGGGGGCTGGTTGGCTGAGGGGGCGGAGGATGGGATATGGGCCAGTACTTAAGGATGAATTATTGTTCGCTATTAATGCTCATTGGTTTCTAATTTGTATTCACACTGAATTATGAGGCCCAGCTAGTAGCTGTCGTCTCTCTCAGGCCCATCCTGGTAACATGGCAGGACCCTGCACCTTTTGGGCCTCAAAGCCATTCCACAAGCCAGCTGGCCACCGGGCACTGCAGGAAGCAATCAGAGGGGGGGAATGGGGATCCCATTGTGCACGTCTCTAGGGACAAGGATAACAATACCCCTGCCACCCCATAATAGCCCTTCCCCAGCCTGGGTGTGGCAGGCTCAGCCAAGCCGATGCCATGGGAGCCACCGCTAGTTAATTGCCTGGTGGATTCACTACAGGGCTGAGCGGGCTCATTCTTGCCATTTCTTTGTCTCGTTCCATCGCTACTGGTCCGTCTCCCAGGAAGAGAGCATGAGGGGGGCAGCAGGTGGGTTAGAGAGAGAGAGTTCAGAGGGTTTTATTTATCTACCCACAACTGAGACTCCCAGTACAAACTCAGCCTTACCCCTGTAGGGGGCGCCAGCTACAATCCCCAAGGCAGGAGGACTGGGGAGGCTGGGGGCAGGGAATGGGTCTTGGGGCCTATCCCCTCTAGGGGACACTGGCTCTTATCTAGCCCCAGGGTGGGGGGCTGGCTGCCTGGGTTGGGGGAGGAGCGGGAATGGGATATGGGGCTTTTTCCTCACAAGGAGGGCACCACTCCTATCTGGCTCCCCTGTGATGCTACTAAGTGTCCTATCCCCTGTAAAACAAGTCTAGGACTGAGATCAGGGAGCAAAGAGGCAGGAGTCTCAACTGGCACTGTTTGGCTTTCCGGGGGCAGCGTCACCGCCCAGGGCCGCGGAGAGAACCCAGGAGTCCTGATGCACAGCCATCAGCTCCCACTCCCTACCCAGAGCTGAGTGACAGCATTGACAGGGTGCAGTTTAAAGGTCACATCTGTGTCTAATCCGCTTACAGGGGAGGCAGTGGCTCGTGTTTACCTGCCTGGTTAATACCAAACAGCACTTATCTGCCTCTGAGATCCATATTCCCAATCAATGCCTTTCATAATTCAACTTCTCAGCTGCCCCAGATTTGGGGAAACACTCCCCTCCCTTCCTAACCTCCCCACACCCTTAAATGGAGCAGCCAGGTCCTGCCCCCACAGCCAGTGCTCCTGCCCTGCTCCCCACAGTGCCCCCTGCTGGGAGAGGCCAGGGCTGGAGTAGCCTGGCACTCCCGCCATCCCACTCCCCCACCCCCAGCCAGTGCTCCTGCCCTGCTCCCCACAGCGCCCCCTGCTGGGAGAGGCCAGGGCTGGAGTAGCCTGGCACTCCCGCCATCCCACTCCCCCACCCCCAGCCAGTGCTCCTGCCCTGCTCCCCACAGAGCCCCCTGCTGGGAGAGGCCAGGGCTGGAGTAGCCTGGCACTCCCGCCATCCCACTCCCCCACCCCCAGCCAGTGCTCCTGCCCTGCTCCCCACAGCGCCCCCTGCTGGGAGAGGCCATTATGGTAGTGCCAAAAGACTGCATTGTACCGGGCTCTGCACAGACCCTGATGGAGCGTGAGGCCCCTGTTGCTGCACAGACGCACAGTGAGAGACAGTCGCTGTCCCCAAGAGCTCAACAGCTCCACAGATAAAGACCAGGAGAATGGCAGAATTACTTTCATTTTACAGCTGGGGAAGCGTGGGCTCCCTCAGTATTTTTAGTTGATACTGCAGGCCCTCCCCCCATTTTTAGGCTGGTATGCTGGCATTCCCTGGTATCTCAAATTATACTGTAGCAGCCCCTAGAATTGTTAGTTCCTGCTATTGCATTACTGAGTCTTGGCCGCTACGTTGCTACGTTAACGTAGCCTCATATTTCTCAGCTGACGCTGGTGCAGCTTGAGCGTTGTATTCCCTCAGCTGGTAGTATTTTGGTTGCTGCACTAGTACCGCCTGGTATTTTTGAATGGCACTGCGGTATCCCCTAATAATGGAGGCTGGTACTCGAGTATTTTTCTGGGTTACTTACTAGCACCACCCCGTGTTTTCCAGCACTGCGCTCGCATCCCTATGTCTGGTGGCCTTGCAACAGCACCCGCTAACGTAGCAGCACCACAACTCCTAGGCGGGTCCTCAAGCGCTCATTAGTATTCCTGGGTGGTACTGCTGGCTCACCTAGCATTTTGCTTGGGCCTCTAACACTATAGTATAGTTACATGATACTGTAGCATCAGCCACTAGTATTTTTAGGCTGGCTCTGCTTTGGGATTGAGTGGCTTTGACTGCTACTGTAGCAGGTCCTGGTTTTTTGTGGCTGATACTCTGGTGACCTGCAGTATTTTTGTAGCTGGTATTACAGTGTCCCCTTACATTTGGGGGCTGGTACTCTACCATCCCTGGGTATATACGGGAAGGTACCGCAGCATCTCCTGGTGTCCTAGGATGGGTCTGCAGCATCCGGTGTACCTTTCTGGCAGGTACTGCAGCATCCCCTAGTGGTGCAGTCTGGTACTGCAACACCCTGCATCTGTTTGCCTGTTTCAATGCAGAGGCTGCGAGTGCATCTGGGGAGCAGCCTCTCCCCCGCGAGCAGAGGATGAGCTCTACAGGCAGCTGCCACAGGGTCAGCTTAGCAGTCAGATGATTTGCTGCAGGAGGCCACCTCGGCCCCCCCCACACCTGTGGCAAAGGTGAAGTGCCCCCTGTGTACCAAGTGAGGAGACTGTAATGGGAGCCAGGCTTGAAGAGGCATGGGGGGGGGGGGAAGCAGCAAACTGGCAGCTCACATGACAGTTCAAAAATTGACACCATGTCAGATGCTGGGGAGTGTGGTGGACACCACCCCTGCCATTGCAAGTGCGGGGAAAGACACACACCCCTGCATGGACCCACGCCACTGGGGCCAGAAAAGAACAGCACAAGGAGACAGAGCTAACACACACACTGCTGCCCAAAGCAACCCCTGCTGGGAGAGGCCGGGGCTGGAGTAGCCGGGAGCTCCCCCCCACAGCCAGGGCTCCCTGGAGCATCTCAATTATGGATGTAAAGTGATTTTTATCCCCACCCAGGCCTCCCCCGCATCCTGTGGCTCTTGCAGAGGGGGCTCCCACTGACTCCAATGGCTTTGCTGCTAAATGGATCTGGCCTACCTGAGAATGGATCCTATTGGCCAACCGGGAGCTGCCACCCTCCCAGCTCGGCCATAGCAGGGATATTAAACGCTTTCCATAACGCCCCTCCCCAGTGAGGTTGGGGACCCAGGAGTCCTGCAGCAGAAAGACATGCCCTGCCGTGCCAGCAAGGACTGTGCGGCAGGGAGCAGAGTGGGGGCCCTGATAGGGCACTCTCCCCCTCACAGCCCATGCTGACCCCCTGTTGGGGGCACTCTCCCCTCGCAGCCCGTGCTGACCCCAGGGCCTCAGCGCGGTGCTGGAGGGCGCAGTGCGGCAATGGGTGCTGGCTTTTGCAGAGAACTAAAACTGATGGTCTAACCTGCCCTAGGCATTACAATTCCTGGGGCAACCACCCAGCTCCCTGCAAAGCTGCGGTTTGAACCCTCAAGTCCTGGGCAGGTGTCAGGGCCAGGGATGCCAGTCTGATTTGCTCCCAAGCCAGGCACACGCCCCTGGAAATAAATATATAGATAAAGGGGAAAAAAATCTATTTGCAGAGACCAGATTGTTCCATTAACCTTGTCTGTGTCAGACAGGAGGGAGGGGGGAAATGTGTCTAACATGTCTGGGTTGTGGGGGGTGGGGCAGGGGGTTGTGGCAGCATATTAAAGCCCAGCTCCTAATTTGAGGCCAGTATGACAGCAGCTGTGACATGTGCAATACAGAATGATAAATATAATCTGTCACCCGGGCAAAATCAATAGTGGTTTGTTTATTTATTTATTCTGTCTCACGTATGATTTGACAAGCAACATTAAGGAAAAAAAATATATAATCATGCAACAGATTTGCTTCCCCCCACCTGTATTCTGGTGTCTGGGCTCGGTATAAAGAGATGCCCCACCACAGAGGCAGCTGCATCTCAGCACCAGGAGAGGGATCCCTGCATAAACAGCCCCTGGGCTCCACCCCAGAGGCAGCTGCATCTCAGCACCAAGAGGGGAATCCCTATATAAACAGCCCCCCGCCCCCGAGGCAGCTGTATCTCCTTTGTTCAGCACCCCACTAGCCGTTTCTCTGAGGCTGGGCTGGGGCATGACAGAAATGTCTGTCTCTTGGGTGAAGCACTAGCTGGCTGGCGTGGAATGGGCTGACTCCGGGGCGGATTCAGCCAGGATGATCGGGCTGTTATTGACGTATTTATCAGAGCGATTTCCTCTTCCCGTGTCACTGCGACACAAATAACCAGGCATGGTAGAGGGGCAGGCGTCTGGGAACAGGAGCTGGAGGGGAGAATGCTCCCGCTCTCGCACTTACACACAGCAGGGCTCACCCCGCTGGCAGGGGGCAGCGGGGACACACAGCTCCACTGACCAGGCCTCCTTCCCTCCAGCAGGGAGTGACAGGAAAACAGTCTTGTTCCTCCTTCCCACATCTGGAAATAGAACCCAGGAGTCCTGAACCCCAGCCCTCCCCACCCTCTAGTCATTAGACCCCACTCCCCTCCCGCTACTGGGAATAGAACCTAGGAGTCCTGACCCCCAGCCCCACCCTCTAACCACTAGACCCCATTCCCCTCCTAGCCATCCCTCAGCTCCAGAAGGCCAGGATATGCAGGGGGCGGGAAAGACGCAAAGATGGGGCTGGGGTCAGCAGGGGGCTCCCAGCATGAGCTGGGGGAGGGGCTGTGAGATGGACAGATGGACCCAAGTGGGGGACAGATAGGAACTGGGACCATTGGTTTTATTATATTTATTACATCTCTGATCCTGTTGTTAGGTACAAATATACACAGCAAGGAATCTGTACAGCCGGGATCACAGGGGAAGGGGGGTGTCCTGACTGGGACCCACGCCCCACCCTCCTGCTCCCACACCAACCCCCTGCACTCCCGCTCCATCATCGGCCACATGCATCAGCCCCCAGGCAACCTCCTCTTCCTGCAGGGCAGGCGGGATACCCCAGGCAGCTCCTACCAGAGTAGGGGAAGTCCCCCCGCCCGCTCCCCATGGCCCCACACTGGAACCGGATGCTGGAGCGCATAAGGATGTGTTTGGGGGATGTCAGGCGAGATCTTACTAATTTCACAACCCATCCCCACGTTAACTCATGTCTTCATCCCCCATTAATAGAACCCAGGAGCCCTGACATGCAGCCACCTCCCCGTCCCCTCAACCAGTAAAGGATCTATCCAACTGCCCCCAAAGCAGCTTCTGCACCCACTGGAAGGGCTGTCTCTCCCCCTTGGCCCATGCTTTCTCCCTTTGCCTCTTCTCTGTGTCACCCCACAGTGGGGGAGCCGGGAAGTCAGCTGGCAGATTTGTGGGGACCAGAGATCCCAGCTTGGGAGGAGTGGGAGGAAGAGCCACAGCTGGTGAGGAAGAGCAGACCCTAAAACACACAGAGTAGAGGGGTCAGACTAGCTCTAACTACTACAGCCCACTCCCCTCTCACAGCCCAAAACAAAACCCTCAAGCCCTGCCCCCACCCCTGCTCTACCCACTCGGCCCCCTTCCCTTCCCCACAGCTCTTACGTGTTTGTCTTTATAAATGGATGTCGAAAACCCCATCCTCCACATCCTGGACCTCCTCCTCCCGGATCTCTGCAGAGACACACATAGCTCCTTGTAGCTGCAAACCCCAACGGAGCAGCCCACACTGCCACCCCACGGGGGAGCCACTCAGCTAGGATTCATCATGGCCAGTACTCACAATGCACTTTGACAAGCACAGACCCCTCCTCTCCACTGAGATGCAGCCTCCTCTGGGGGGTGGGGGGCTGCTTGTACAGGGATCCCTCCCCTGGCGCTGAGATGTGGCCAGCCCTGGGGGGTGGGGGTGGGGCACGGGAGCTGTTTATACTGCCGTCCCTCATCCAGCATTAAGATGCAGCTGCCTCTGAGGTGGGGCACAGAGGCTGTTTATACAGGGATCCCTGACCTGGCACTGAGATGCGGCTGGCCCTGGGGTGAGGTCTGTTTATACTGCTGTCCCTCACCCAGCGCTGAGATGCAGCTGCCTCTGGGGTGGGATGCGGGGGCTGTGTAGACAGGAAGCCTGTGCGGAAGCAGGCTGGGATAACACAATGTGTTGGTTACCGGGGGCCCAGGATGGGGGTGTCTCAGAATAGCTGCCAGGGCTCAGAGCACCATCCCGCACCATCTGCAGCGACACAAACAGGAAACAGCATGGTGCAGTATTATGGGCCAGCACAGAGGCCTCCTCGGCGGGGTCAGGAAATCGCATGGAGGTGTTGTTATCGGGCTTGCAAGCTGGCTTCCGGCACAACACTGGGGCCATGGGGAGAGTGGGGGAGGGGCTAGCGTCAGGTCTCCTGGGTTCTCTCCCAGCTCTGGTCGGGGAGTGCTGGAGGGGTTGGGGTGGGCCCTCGGCTCTGAGCTAGGTGGGGTGGGGCTGCCCCCGGTGGCCATACCTGTGTGGCGTGGGGATCTGCAGGCTGAGCGGGGCAGTGAGAAGCTGAAGGAGCGGGTGGGGATGTGGGCAGGGCTGGCCAGGCTGAAACTCTTGGTCCGTTTGCGGCACTCCAGGGAGAGATGTTCCCGGCACTGCCTGTGGCAGTTCACGCCGCAGCCTGGGGGGCAACAAGGGAGGTTGGGGGAGGTGGGCCCTGCAGCTCCCCTTCGTGCAACCCCCCGTGGCCCCACACCTCCCCTAATGCAGCCCAGGTCCCTCACACACCTCTATGGTTCCAGCTCCCCAATTTTCCCTGCACTCCCAGCTCCCCAGGTGCACCCCAGCTCTCAATTCATCCCCCAGCTCCCCTGGTGCACGCCCAGCTCTCAATTCATCCCCCAGCTCCCTGGTGCACCCCCACAGCCCAGCTCCCCAGTTCATGACCCAGTGACCCCAATGCACCCCTCCATCTTCTGCAAAGCACGCCCAGCTCCCCCACAGCTCAACCCCCATGGCCCCACGCTTCCCTATATACCTCCAATGCACCCCTATCTCCAGAATACAGCCACCCACAGCCTCTCTCCCCCAGTGCAGCACCAGCTTCCCCCCAACCACTCATCATTTCCCCAGGCAACCCCCTCCCCCCCACATACTCACAGCGGCACTTGAACCCCTGTTTGTAGATTCCCAGTATCTGGGGGAAAAGATGCAAGGGGATGGGGTCAGCGAGGTGATGAGGGGAGGATGGGGGCGCATGCTCAGTTCCACTTTATGCATCCGATGAAGTGAGCTGTAGCCCACGAAAGCTCATGCTCAAATAAATTGGTTAGTCTCTAAGGTGCCACAAGTACTCCTTTTCTTTTTACTACAGCAGTCGAATCGCAACAGTTGAAATGAGCTAATTTCACAACATTTCATTTCAACTTTCTGTCCCAGTTCCAAGTGGATCTCAGGATCTCCCACAGAACGGACAATCCGAGAATCGACCAGTGCTGGTGAGGGGGACAAGCTGACACTGGGACACTTATCCCTGCTGTGATGCAGCTGACTCTGGGGTAGGAGGTGGGGGCCGTTTATACCGCTATCCCTCACCCAGCACTAAGTCGCAGCTGCCTTTGGGGTGGGACACAGCGGCTGTGTCTACAGGGATTCCCTCACCAGGTGCTGAGATGCAGCTAGTCCTGGGGTGGGGTGTGTGGGCTGTTTATACAGGGATCCCTCAATGAGCACTGAGATGCAGCCGGCCTGGGGTGGGGACAGTTTATACTGCTACCCCTCACCCAGCACTAAGTTGCAGCTGCCTCTGTGGGGGAACGGGGACTGCTTACACAAGGATCCCTTGCATAGTTTTCCCAGGATAAAGGTGCCTTCCCTCCCATAGAACTCATCCTCTGAGAAGAGTGAAGCCCCTTTACCCCAGTCTCACTGGGCCCTCTCTGGGTGAAGGGGTTGTCCTGGGATAACTAGGCCTAGGCTAGCTGTTGTGTGCTTCTGCGTCTCTTCAGTCATCTCCCCTGCCCCTGCCCCAGGGATCTAACCCCCCTTGGCCCTCTCTGTGGCCGCACAAGTGAGGCATGACTTTCCCTCGTGGAATCGACCCCCAGTCATTATGGGGGAAAGGGAAAAGGGGGCACCCCGTGGAACAAGCCCCCTAGTCTATGGAGGGTGGCCGTTTGTGGGTCCTGTGTTCTCACAGGGGGGCCCACAGAGGGCAGCCCCCAGAGCAACCAGCCTCCTGCACCCTCCCAGGGGCCAGCAATGGCTCACCAGGCTCTTGCAGTGACGGCAGGACACGGGGTGCAGGAAGGTGGTCTCCTGGAAGCTGTGGATGAAGCCCATCTTCCCGTCCACCACAGCGCTGGACTTCATGAAGTACGAGATCATCTCCTCTCTGCTGATGCAGCCATCCCTAGGGGCACAAAGTATCAGGCTGGGAGACAGGGCGCCCAGGTCTCCGCCCGGCTCTGGGCGGGGAGTGGGGACCAAGGCGTTAGAGCAGGGGGACTGGGTGTCAGGTCATCCAGGTCTGTGCTAGGCTCTGGGCGGGGAATGGGGGCCAGCGGGGTAGAGCTGGGGACTGGGAGTCAGGGCATCTGGGGTCTGTGCCAGGCTCTGGGCAGGGAGTGAGAGCCAGGGGAGTAGAGCTGGGGGGTTGGGAGTCAGGGCACCTGGGTCTGTGCTAGGCTGTGGGCAGGGAGTGGGGGCCAGAAGGGTAGAGGTGGGGGGTTGGGAGTCAGGGCACCCGGGTCTGTGCCAGGCTGTGGGTGGGGAGTGGGGGCCAGAGGGGTAGAAGCGGGGGGTTGGGAGTCAGGGCACCCGGGTCTGTGCCAGGCTGTGGGTGGGGAGTGGGGGCCAGAGGGGTAGAAGCGGGGGGTTGGGAGTCAGGGCACCCGGATCTGTGCCAGGCTGTGGGTGGCGAGTGGGGGCCAGCGAGGTAGAGCTGGGGACTGGGATTCAGGGCACCTGGGGTCTGTGCCAGGCTCTGGGCAGGGAGTGGAAGCCAGGGGAGTAGAGCTGGGGGGTTGGGAGTCAGGGCACCCGGGGCTGTGCCAGGCTGTGGGTGGGGAGTGGGGGCCAGAGGGGTAGAGCTGGGGGGCTGGGAGTCAGGGCACCCAGGTCTGTGCTAGGCTGTGGGCAGGGAGTGGGGGCCAGAGGGGTAGAGCTGGAGGGCTGGGAGTCAGGGCACCCGGGTCTGTGCCAGGCTGTGGGTGGGGAGTGGGGACCAGGGGGGTAGAGTTGGGGGGCTGGGAGTCAGGACTCCCAAGTTCCAACAAAGAAGAAAGCATTACAGGGGATGAGGCTTCTAGGCGGAGGCCTGGCCCCAGTACCTCACCCCTCCTTCTGGTGTGCGGGGCCCGCGGGGTCCCCCCTTCCTGGGCACTCACTGGTTCTCATCCAGGTCCCCAAATTTGCACAGGTAGGGGAAGTTGTTGCGGATGATTTTGAACTCCTCCTGGGAGATGTGGCCGTCTCCGTCCACGTCGAAATTCCGGAACACGGACTGCAGGGGGCAGCAGAGAGCGGCGGGAGCGTCAGCTCGGCGATACGCCGCCCTCGGCACAGGAACTGGGGGCGGGACGGGGGGCTACTAGCACCCCCCGGTCTCCCGGCTGTCTGCTCCGCCCCCGGGGCTTTGCTCCGGGCCTCAGCTCGGGGGCGGGTGGACAGGGGTAAGGGGGCTGGCTTCCAGCCCCCACTGTTAACAATGTTCCAGTGCCACTGGCCCCAGAACCCCCCCCACTTCCCCACGTGGCCTGCAGGGGGCAGCAGAGAGCAGGAGGGAGGGTCATCCCTGGGGGTACGCCACCCCCTATGCAGCCCCAGAGGCCCCTCCAACCACGTGGACCGCAGGGGGGAGCAGAGACTGGAGGAGGGCGTCAGCTCAAGGTACCCTGGCCTAACACACAGTCTCAGAGCGCCAACAGAAACGCAGACCATGGTGTCCAAGGCCCCCACTCTCACCTCCACCATCTTCTCAATGTGTGTCCGCACCAGCGTCTGGTCCGGTTTGGGTTTCACAGCCAAGGCCCACTCGTCTATGTCAGCCGGTCGGCTTGGGGGGGAACAGGAGGTGGGGCTGGACGGCTGGATGGACAGAGACATCCTCTGAGTGATCCCTTGGCCAGCGCTGAGATGCAACCACCTCTGGGGTGGAGTGCAGGGGCTGTTCAAACCAGAATCCCTCGCCCAATGCTGCGGCTTCAGGGGCTGGAGCTGGAGGGGTGTTAGTGAACGTGTGGGACCCAGCAGCCCCCTCTCTCTGGACAGGAAGCTCAGCCCCCAGGGAGCAGAGCGGAAGGCAGCTGCGAATGCGCCTGAGAACCAGCTCCTGGGACCAGATGGGACAGAGACGCCATGGCCTGCTGCTCCCCCCCCATTCCCCACAGGGGGCAACAGAGGGGTCATGGCCCGGGGGCAGGGGACGGGGCACAGGTCACACAGCATCGTGCACTCACACACGCACTCACGGCCGACTTGCCACGGGGCTCTCTCTGCAGCGACAGCTGGTAGATCTCCTCCTCCGTCTGGTACTGATCCAGCGACACCTGGGGGGGCACAGCCCATCAGACAGCAGGGGTGGGGGGTTCACCAGGAGCTGGCTGACAAGGTTGGCGTTGGCCTCAGAGAGCAGTTTGATGGTCTAGGGTGCAGGGAGATACGGGGGGGGGTGGGAGTGCAGTGGGGGTTGGGATGTAATGAGGGGGTGCAGGGGGGCTCCAGGAGTTGGGATGCCACAGGGTGCAGTGAGGTTCAGGGGTGGGGTGCTGGGGGAGTACAAGGAGGTGCAGTGAGAGGTCCAGGGGCGGGGTCTCACCGTGAGCAGGTTGATGAGGTCCATGTTGGCCTCGAAGGGTGGTTTGATGCTCTGCACCAGCACCAGCTCGTTGAGGATCCCGAAGAGCTGCTGCATCTTGGTGCCGTTGACGCGGGTGCGGGCCCGGTCCAGCCAGTCGGGCAGCGCCACGTGCACGGCCACCAGATCCTTGAGGTGCACGCCCAGGATGGGGAAGCGGAAGCCGACGCACTCGGCCAGGCGGCGCCGGTAGCGGCTGTAGTTCCCCAACGAGGTCACCAGCTCCGTCATGGACTCCCACAGCTGGGAGGGATGGGGGGGAGGGGTCAGGGGCTGGGCCCAGAGCAAGCCCCCAGCCTCGCCCCAGTGCTCTCCCAACCTCCCAACACCGCCCCAGACCCCAGCCTCGCCCCAGAGCTCCCCCAACACCGCCCCAGACCCCGACCTCGCCCCAGAGCTCCCCCAACCCCTCAACACTTCCCCAGACCTCAACCCCTCAAGCCCACCCTAACCCCCCACCACTGCCCCAGGCCCCTCGAGACCCCAATCCCACCCCAACCACCGGACTGTCATCCCACCCTCCAGCATTGCCCCAGCCCCTTGAGTATCCCACTTCCCCCCGGCCCTGCGCCCTGTACCTTGGTGGTCTCGGAGCTGACGTGGCTGTGGGTCTCTTTGAGGCGGGAGATGGAGCTGTGACTCAGCCCCCCCACCACGGCCATCAGCGTGTTGAAATTCTGCAGCTGCAGGAGCCTCTGCAGGGATGTCCGGCCGGAGGGGGGATCCAGCCGAGAGACAGTGGAGATCCATGGGGGAGAGAGAGGTCGGATTAGTTCCAAGGATGGAGGAGTGGGGCCCGGGGGGGGGGGCATTCACACCTGGAGCCCAGCTGGGGCTCAGACTACAATGGGCCAGCAGGGGGGCTGCGGGCCGGGATTGAGGGGCCCCTCACCTGTGCCACCAGGATGAAGCGGGTGATGACCTGCGCCCGCTGCTGGGCGGTCGGCTTGCTCAGCACCATGAGCTGCACCCACTGTGAGACGCTGTTGAAAAGGGTGATGAACCGCTCCAGGATGGGGTTGTCCACAGTGCAGCCGTGCATGACGAAGCTGTGATAGTCCTGGAACTGGAATGGAAACAGAGCGTCAGGGCCTGCCCCATGGGAGGGGGGACATAGGGGGTGGGACAGGGCCTGCCCCACAGAGGGAATGGGAGGTTCAGGGCCTGCCCCATGGACGTAGAGGGTGGGGAAGCGCCTGCCCCATGGGGGAGGAAAGGTCATTCCCAAAGCAGCCCTCCACCCCCAAGCAGCCTCCCCAGCCCCATGGCAGCCGCAGGGTCTCCGCCCCGCACCAGGATCTTGCAGAAGGAGCGGTACTCCAGGTAGGTGAGATGCTCTGCCAACTCGGAGGACTCCAGGTGGTCAAAGAGCAGCGACATCTTGCGTTTCTTCGGGGCCACCGGGTTGCGCTGGGTCACTTGGCGCTTCCACTTGTAAGTAGGGCTGGGGGGGGGCACAGTCAAGGGGGGGATGTCAGAGCCAAGCCAGTCTTTGCAACCAAACCGCTGGCACACACTCTTCCTGCCCCCACATGCACAGCCCAGAGACTCCTGCGTGCTCCCACGCCCCGTGCACACGCACACACGTCCCATGCGCGCACACACAGGCCATGTGCAAACACATGCCTCGTACACTCCCCCCCCCCACGCGCCTCATGCACTCCCACACACTCCACGTGTACACACACGTCCTGGGCACTCCCATGTGCATGTCCCGCTCATGCCCACACAAACATACCCCATGCACTCCCACACACACCTGCACCATGCACACTCACAGACACATTCACAAGCATGCACTGGGACACCCCTGTGCTCACGCTTGTGCCCTCGCTCAGACCCGCTCCTCAGTCCTCCTCAGCCCATGCAGGCCCCCTGCTCTCACACAGCTGCTCTGGGACACCTCCCCCACCCCCCATGCTTCCGCCCCCACCACATACACATTCTCAATGTCGATGAGGTTGCTGTGGCGCCGGTTCCCCTCACGGCCCAGAACCTCCTTTAGCTCCTTGATCTGCTCTGCTAGCTCCGGGTTCAAATCAAACTCTGCCGGGAATGCCGAGATCCAGTACCTGGGGAGGGGGAAGGGGTAACGACAGCCAACACCCGGAACACAGCCACCTCTGGGGTGGGGAACAGAGGCAGTTTACTCAGGGATCCCTCACCCACTGGAAGGATGTCCTATGTTGAGCCCCCTGCAGCACTGTGCCCCTGAATGCTGCACTGGGGCCAGCTCTGCCCCGAGGTTTGAGGATGCTGCCCTGAAATGTGGGGCTCCTCCGGACTCACCTCACCAGGTGGCAGGTTTTCACCTGCAGGGAGCTGCTTTCTGAGCTACGAGACTCTTGGTAGGTGCAAGGGCAGAGTTAAGGCGAATTCCACATTGCAGGCACTGGAGACTGGGGGAGTGGGGAGAAAGGGGGAGGAGCTGGGCCATGGATTTGGGGCCCTTGGACCAGGCTGGGAGGAGTCAGCGTTCTAGAATCACAGCAATGCGGGGATGGAAGGGACCTCTGGAGGTCACTGAGTCCAGCCCCCCGCGCTGAGGCAGAACCAAGCAAACCCAGACCATCCCTGACAGCTGTTTGTCCCACCTGTTCTTACCACCTCCAGTGATGGGGAGTCCGCAACCAGAGCTTAACTAGCCTGAGAAAAAAGAAAAGGAGTACTTGTGGCACCTTAGAGACTAACCAATTTATTTGAGCATAAGCTTTCGTGAGCCACAGCTCACTTCATCGGATGCATACCGTATGCATCCGATGAAGTGAGCTGTGGCTCACGAAAGCTTATGCTCATATAAATTGGTTAGTCTCTAAGGTGCCACAAGTACTCCTTTTCTTTTTGCGAATACAGACTAACACAGCCGTTACTCTGTAGCCTGAGAAAGCATTTCCTAAAATCTAACCTACTTCTCCCTTGCTGCAGATTAAGCCCATGACATCTGGTCCTACCTCCAGTGGACGCGGAGAACAGCTGACCACCATCCTCTTCAGAACAGCCCTGAAGATATTGGAAGACTCTTAGCAGGTGTCCCCCTCTTTTCTCAAGCCTAAAGATGCCCAGCTTTTTAGCCTTTCCTCCCAGGGCAGGTTTTTAGACCATTTATCATTTTTGTTGCTCTCCTCTTGACGCTCTCCAGTTTCTCCACAGCTCTCCTAAAGCCTGGCACCCAAACCTGGATGCTGTACTCCAGATGAGGCTTCCCCAGTGCCGAGTAACATCTCCCGTGTCTTACATACGCCTCTCCCGTTAACACAGCCCAGACAATAACAGGCTTTTCCACAACATCATCACACTGTTGGCTCGGATTCCCTTGATGAGCCAACCCCTAGATCCTTTTCAAGAGGACTGTCACCTAGCCAGTCTTTCCCAGTTTTGTGATTTCTCCTTCCTCAGTGCAGTCCTTTGCACTAGTCTTTACTGAATTTTATCTTGTTGTGTGCAGACCAATTCTCCAATTTCTCAAGGTCATTCTGAATTCTAATCCTGTCCTCCAAAGTGCTCACATCACCCACAGCTTAGTGTCATCCGCCATTTTTATAAGCCTACTCTGCGCACTGCATCATCCAAGTCATTAATGAAAATATTGACTAGCCCCAGACCCAGGACTAACCCCTCTGGGACCCCACTCAATACATCCTCCCATTTTGATGGAGAACCATTGATAGACTGTCCTCAAAGAGCAGCTTTCAACCAGTTCTGCACCCATCTTATAGCAATTTCATCTTGATAATATTTCCCTAGTCTGCTTATGAGAATGGGGGACCGGGTTTGTAGCTCACGAAAGCTTATGCTCAAATAAATTTGTTAGTCTCTAAGGTGCCACAAGTCCTCCAGTTCTTTTTACTAAAATCAAGATCTATCTGTCTCCTGCTTCCCCCCAGACATTAGGCCAGTGACCCTGTCAAAGAAGGATATTAGGCTGGTTTGGCAGGATTTGCTATTGACAAACCCATGCTGGTTATTCCTTATAACCCTATTATCCTCCAGGGACTTACAAACTGATTGTTCAATAATTTGTTCCAGTATCTTGCAGGTATGGAAGTTAGGCTGCCTGGTCTATAATCCCTGGGGTCCTCTTAGTTTCCCTGTTTAGAGACAGGTGCTGCCCTTTTCCAGTCCCCGGGGACCACACCCGTCTTCCATTTCTCAAAGACAATCGCTAACGGCTCCCAGATTGCTTCAGCTCCTTCCTTAAGTATCCGCGGGTGAATTGCACCAGTCCCTGCCAACCTGAATAGGTCAAACTCCTCTAAATACTCTTTAACTTCTCTGGCCTGTGTTCCTCCCCCTTGTTGTTAATATTCATTGTGCTGAGTAGCTGTCACCATTAACCGTTTTAGTGAAGACTGAAGCAAAATAGGCATTAATCCCCCCAGCTTTCTTGATGCCATCAATTAGCTTGCCTTCCTCAGGAAGTAGCGGACCTGCACTTTCCTTCATCTTTCTCTTGCTCCCAAGGTATTTAAAGAACCTCTTCCGACTGCCTTTCTGTAACTCATTTTGCGCCTTAGCCTCTCGGATTTTGCCCCTACCTGCTGGTGCAATTCTTCTGTGCTCCTCCTTGACAACCTGTCCACATTTCCACTTATTAAGGGATTCTTCCTTACTTTTAAGATTGTTAAAGAGCTCCAGAGGGAGCCACCTCGGCCTTTTCCTGTCTTCCCTTCGCACCTGGCTAGTTTGCTGTTGTGCCTTTAACACTGTTTAGCTGAGAAACTTCCAGTTCTTTTTTCCTTCGATTTGCTTCCCCCGGGACCTTAGCTCCCAGTTCTCTGATCTGTTGAAGTCTGGTTTTTTCGGAAGCCCATTGTCCTGATTCTGCTGCCCCCACTCCTTCCTTTCCTTAGAGTCATGAAATGGTGTCATTTCAGGGTTACTTTCACCCAGATTGCCTTCCGCTTTCCCATGCACAACCAATTCCGCCCTGTTGGTCTGAGATGTATGTGGACTGCCCTGGTGCTGCAGGGGTCCCATGGTGAGCCCCAGCCCAGGGAGACAGCCAGCTAGCAGAATAAGCCAGCTCTGTCCAGGGATATGTGCATTGTGAAGGGAGGGGGTGCCCAGGAGGGAAAGGGGGGCAGTAGGGTGCCCCAAGGCAGGTTGGTGGGGTGAATGAGGGCAGGAGGGAAGGAGCTGCAGGAAGGGGGGCAGAGGGCTCACAAGGATATATGCGCAGCAGCTTGGCGGCCAGGTGGGAGGAGGGGATGTACCAAGGATGCATCATCAGGAACATTCGCACCAGTTGGGGGTCCCGCACCTTCCCCTCATCATCTGCAAGAGAGAGTAGGCCCTGCTCAGAGATCCCACAACCCCCCCCGAGACCTCCCCCCATAACCTCCCACCCCGCTCAGTGATTCTGCAAAGCCCCACCCTGCTCAGACCCCCCACTACTCAGAGACACCCCCCTGCAACACCGCTCAGACCCACCCCATTACTCAGACCCCCCCGCAAACCCCCACGCTGCTCAGAGATCCCACAACCCCCCATCCCCTCAGAGATACCCCCACAACTTCCCACCCCACTCAGAGACCTCCCACAACCCCCCACCCTGATCAGACCCCCCCACTACTCAGAGACCCCACACAACCCCCCACCCCACTCAGACCCACCCCATTACTCAGACACCCCCCCACAACTCCCCACCCTACTCAGAGATCCCGCAACCCCCCATCCCGCTCAGAGACCTCCCACAACCCCCCACCCCGCTCAGAACCCCCCACACTACTCAGACACCCCCCTACAGCTCCCCACCCTGTTCAGAGACCCCTACAGACTCTCAGCCTGCTCAGACACCCCCTACCTCGCTCAGAAGCTCCCTCCACAAACCCCCCCGCTCAGAGACTCCCCACCCCACTCAGAGACCCTGCCCTGCTCAGAAACCCCCACAATCCCCCACTCTGCTCAGAGATCTTCCACCCCAGTCAGAGATCCCCCACAACCCTTCACCCCACCCACACAGAGACCCCCTACAACCCAACTCGCTCAGAGACCCCTACTGACTCCCCAACCCAGAGACCCCAGTGATTCCCTCGCCCACTCGGCACCCCCTGTTAACCCCTGCAAAGCACTCAGGGTACATCTGCACAACCTTTGGCAGTGAGGCTCAGAGCCCGGGTTGCAGACTTGCAGACCTTGCTGGGCAGACATCACTGTGTGGACATCGCGGCTGGGGCTGTGAAGCCTGGGGGCGGGGATCTCCAGCCCAGGTCATAGTGTCTACACAGCTATTCTGCATCTGTTGCCCAGGCTCCAAGACTTGCTGCATGGCTGGCGCTCACCATGGGGACGTAGCCACAGAGACCCCCCCCCCCGCTCAGCAACCCCTACGGACCCTGCTCCCTGCAGCACAGCATCCTCTAGTCCCTCACTGGGGCACTGGGGTCAGCACTGATGACAAGGGGAGAGCACCCCCTGCTGAGCCCCTGCCCCACTCCCTGCAGCAGAGCGCCCTCTAGGGGTCAGGACAAGTGACCGTATAGGTTGAAGAAAACCCCAAAGCCACAGCCTGACCCCAGCCCCTTGGGCAACCCCAGCCCTCCATATGCCACCTCCTCAGGTTCACACCCCATCTCACCTCTTACCAGTCACCTGCACCAACAATCCCTTCTCCCCACACATGCTCCAAAATAACAGCTTCCCCCACTGCATTACCAAAGGCCTCAATGCAGCCCTGTAGCAGCTCCTCAACCGTACAGCCCTTGTCCAGGTCCAGCGTCTCGCTCATCTCTGCTCCCCCCGTGCCGGCCAACTCCCCCTCTGCCAGCCTGGGGTCCCACCGCAGACAGGTGCTGCCCGGCTCAGGGGCAATGTATCAGCGGCCCCCTAAGATCAGGGATCCCTTCTGAGAACCTGCCACTGAAAGAGGAGATGGGGCTAGAGTTATAAACTCTTACCAAGATGCAGCCGCTTCTGGGGCAGGGCAGCCGTTTCTACAGAGATCACTTGCCTGAGGCTCACTGGGATCAGCGCTGCCACAGAGGGGTAGTTGCAGAGATCAGCCAAGGGAGGCCGTCCAGGGTAGGGTGTCTCTGTCGCCTTCGCCCTAACGCTGTGAACGCTGGGGGAGGGAGAGTTTGTTGCAAAATAAAACAGCTAGAGAATTTTGGGTAAAGTTGCAAAATGTTTCCTCCATCCTGGCTTCCTCCTTTGGCTCAGGTCAGAGACGGGCCCTGCTTTGCCCCTGGGAGTGTAGAAGTATGGGACACGGGGCCTTTCCCCTCTAGGGAGCACAGACTACGATTTGGCTCTGGGGTGGGGAGACTGGCTGGCTCAGAGATGGGGGGAATGAGACATGGGGCTTCCCCCTCTAAGTTACAGCCTCCCACTTGGACGCTACAAACACACAGCATGTGCAACCTCACAACATCCCAGCAGGAAAACCTGCAGCAGAGAGATTAGCCCATGATCACAGAGTGGGGAAATAGAAAGCAGGAGTCCTGGCTCCCCAGCCCCCCCTGCTCTACCCCACTGGACCCTTCTCTCCACGCAGAGCTGGGGACAAAACCCAGGTGTCCTGGAACCCAGCCCCAAGTCCTTCTGACCTTGCACAAAGCCCGAAGGAGTAGCCCCCGCAGCTGAGGCCCGCTGAGCTATTCTGAGCCCTTTGGCTGTTAAAGGACCGGGATGGAATTTATAAGTGGCCTTTTGCATAGTAACATCGCCTGGAGGGTAAGGAGAGGCACGGGGCTGTCTGCTCTTTGGTTGGGGGGCTGTAAAGAGGGGGTGATCCTAGGTGGAAAGCAAGTTCCCAGGCTCTATCCCCCCTGTTAAAGGTATCTGAGGGTTAAACATGACAACAGGGGATTGGGTTAGATCCAGAGCAAAGGAATGTTTGGAGAGAGATGAAGGACCCAGGAATCCGGCCACAATGACTCAGGCTGAGAGATTAATTTAGACAAGGGATCACATCTCGGGAATTCGAGCCACACTGTGTGCGGAGCTGGAATCTAGGGAACGGCTCCTGATGGATTAGCAATCGGGGGTGGGGGGGGGATCAGGGGTCTGGTGTGCAAGGTGCTGTGGTGGCATCCGTATCTGGGATCCAGTGGGAATGGGTTTAGATCTGTGTTGTAAATCCCTGCATAAACAGCACCTCCCCAGAAGTGGCTGCATTTCAGCACCAGGCAAGGGATCCCTTTGTGTAATTGCTCTGTAGTAAGACAAGATTATTATTAATCTTTTAAGACAAGCTTTTGTATGTGCAACTTACCACGCTGTAAATTGAGGGTTGGGATTTCTTGCGGTGTTATTTTTAGGCGGCTTTTTGTTCATGGTTAGTTAGAAGACGAATAGAAGCAACCAGTGAGCGAGCTGAGTGGGGAGGACTGAACGGAAGCCATTTGGGGGGACGGTCCCTCTTTTCCATCTGGCTGTTTGTTTGCCCAGCACCTTCTACTAACTGCAGGTCTCTCACATACACACCAGCCATGTTGCAAAACATCAATCAAAATAGTGTTGCCAAATGTCAGTTGCCTCACAGTCACCCTCTGGGGTGAACACGCACCACCACACGCACTGTATGCAGCATAAACACACAGTCGCACTGCACGCACAGACAGTAGCACACGGTGTGTGGCAGAAAGCTTTGCCAAGACACAGCTCTGCTGCACACCTCGACCATAGTGCAGCGTGTGCACAGACACACACACGGCCATGTTGCATGCACTATACCGCAGTGCACACACCTAGCCTATAGTGTACTGTGCGTGCACAGACACAACCATGCTGAACCCAGAATGAAACCCTATCATTGCACAGCCTGTTGGCACCCACACACATGTCCCAGCTGCCTGGGAGACAAGGACCCTTTTTATCGTCTTCCCGTATCTCAGCCAGGCCTCTGAGCTTTTATTAGCCACAATACAGCGGGGGGTCACCCCACCCCAGTGATGCGGGCCCCGCTCTTAGGTGAGGACCACTAAGCTATGGCTCTGAGGCACCTGCTCCCTGCCCCATCACTGCCTTTAGAGCCCCCCCATTAGCCATCCATTATGCCCCCAAGTGCACCCGCCACCCTTCCAACCCCATTCAGCCTCCCAGTTAAGTGGGGGTTATAACCCAGGGCACTGCCAGCTCAGCCATCCCCAAAGTGGGTGTGGCAGCAGGGAGAGCCCCCCACACCATACACAGAGAACCCCCATGGGCCTCCCTTGCGTGTGTGAGGGGGGAGGGAAGTGCAGTCCCTTCCCCCACCAGCCAGGGCACCAGGGGCAGGAGAGGGGGTGGTGTGTTGGGGGAGTGGGCGGGGGTGTGACGGGGCAGGGGGAGCAGGGTGACAAGGCTGGTGTGAGGGGGGCAGCGTGATGGGTGAAGCGGGCAGGAAGGGTGGCATGAAGGGGGCAGGAGGGTTGGTGTGATGGGGCAGGGGGATGGGGGGGGAAATCGATGTGACCAGGGCCGTCCGGCTAGAGACACAGGGGCTTGAGCCCCGGTACACTCGTCTCACAGGTGGGAGTGACTTTCGCTCCCTGGGGCCCTAGAGGGGCAGGCCCTGTCCCGCTCCCCGGCCCCCGAACAGCCAGCCCCCCGCCCCGGGGCCGGCGCCCCCTAGAGGGGCTGCCCCGGCTCCCCCCCGCGCGGCTCACCCGGCTCCGCTCTGCTCCTGCGCTGGGCGATATTCAAACGCGGCCGGGCTGCACAATGCGGCTTGTGTCTCCTTATCACCCCCCCGCCCCGACTTCCTCCTGCTGCCGGCTCCGGGAGGGTCGTGCGGGTCCAAACGCCGCCTGCTCCGCCCGGCGCAGGGAGCGCCCCGGCCGGGCCGCCTGCCCCGCAGCTGGGGGGCGCCCCGGGCCGGGGGGGGGACGCAGCAGGCGATGGGGGGTGCTGGGCTGGGCAGGGGGCGCGGGAGGGGGGGCGTACGCACCCTTCGTTCACACCGACGGTTGCTCGCCCGGCCCTCTTCCCCACTCGCCCTCGCCCCCCCCGTCCTACCCCGCGCCCCCCCCCGGGAGCCCCAGGTGCCACTGCGGAATTCTTAACCCCTCCTGTGCCGGGGGCGCTGCCCTCACCCAGCGCCACTGGGGAGGGGGCTCAGAGCAAAGCGGGGAGCAGCCCCCGCCTGTTCCGTGTGCACCAGTTACTCTGGGAAGGGGCATCTCTGGGGGCCCCTAGCTTCTCGTGCATGAGCTAATATGGGGGGCGATTGGGGGGTAATAGAGCAAAGGAGGTGGGGTGACTGGAACTCTCCCATCCCCCGCACTGCGGGCAAACAGCGGGGGGGGGGGAGTTGCTAGGCCCTATGTTACTCAGCCATAGGCTGGGCAGTTCCGGGAGGGGGCAGGGGCCACTGGGTTAGTCCAGACCCTGACGCCCACTCATGGGGTGGGGGGAGCCCGACGCTGCAACCAGCTCCAGCAATAGCCTGTTATCATAGCAACCAGCCCCACAGGACGGGGAATGGGGACCCTGGCAGTGGCTGTGGGTGCTGGGCTGAGCAGGTGGGGGATGGGGCGAGCTGGTCTCAGCCTCACACGCCACCCCCAGCCCAAGGAGCGTCAGTGTCACCCTCTCCCCCTCCGGCCCAGCCAGCTGCAGCATCGTCCACCCCTCCCCCCTTCAGGCCCAGATTGTCAGCCCCTGAACCCCATTTTAGCACCCAGCTGCCCATCAGTAACCATGGAGAACAGTCTCCGCCCCTTCGCTGGGGCACCATGCCGGACAGGGTGGAGCAGCCTGAGTGGGGGGGGAAGTGGTCTGTGGTTGAACAGAAACGCCATGCACGTTTCTGTGGCTGGCAAACAGTCCTAAACTCTAGGGCAGGGAACACCCTCCCCCACCCCTTTCCCATCCCCCCTCTGGATTGAGTACATGTCTCCCCAAGAGTCAAAACTTGCTCGCTCACTGACCTAGAAGAGCAGGTGCAACTGCAGTGCGTTGCTGGGTGTGCAGGGCTGTCCTAAGATCCTGAGCCCCACCCCCCCTGGAAGGGGTGGGAGCAGTACCACAGTGCTTGCTAAGGGGTTGTAGCCCCATTTGTGCAGTGGGGCATTTGTTGGGACCCAGGCTTTGCTCCGGTACAGGAGAGGAGACTGGAGGGTGATAAGATGGACTACGTACAATGGGTTCCATCCCCAGCTCTGGCAAGAGAGTGGGGTCTAGTGGTTAGAGTGGGGCAGGGGCTGGGAGCCAGGACTCCTGGGTTCTACTTTCTGATGTCAGTGAGACATTGGGCAAGCTGACCACTGAGTTTCCCCATTGCAAATGGGGCCAAACCCCTTTGGGTCCCAGCCTCGCAGCGAGAGGGCATGTGGGGGGTGCTGCTACAGTTATTCCCTTGCTCTTTGGCATCCCCTTATGTGCGCATCAGGAATTGCTGGAGTATGCTGCTTGAGCTGGCAGAGCATGTGTACAAGTGTGTTTTTCTGTGTGCGCTGGCTCAGTGGGTGTGAGTGTGCACATGCACAAGAACCAGCTGAGTGTGAGAGCCGGCAAAGCATGAGTACAAGAGTGTGCAGGAGCTCTGTGTGTGTGCACATGCTGGCTGGCTGGGTGTATCTCTATGGGCTCACTGCCCTGCTGAGATGCCAATTAATCACTGCAGCTCCCAGCAGCCTTGGAACCAATTATGGTAAGTGCAGCGCCTGCTGCCTGAAGGGGGGGGGTGTCGGTGCCTGGCAGCTTGCTCACCCCTGCGTGGGGGGGGGGGAGAGGAAAGAGGGGATAGTGCTGGGGAGGATGCTACTGGAGTTGTGATTAAAAAAAAAAACAAAAAACAATCCTTTACATTCATGGTTCATAAAAATGTCACAAACCTAGAAACCCAGGAGTCCTGGCACCAAGCCCCCTCCTGAGAACTGGGGATAAAACCCAGGAGTCCTGGTACCCAGTCCTCTAACCTACTAGGACCCCATTCCCCTCCTGCCACTAGGAATCTCCTCTCCCACTGCAGGGTTGTTTGTATTGGGGGAGCTATTTTTAGCACCAATTCCCCCTCTCTGGGTGGTAATGAGCAGCTGCTGTGGCCTGGGGGGGGAGGGGTTCACACACTCTTCCATCTCCTCTCTAGGCCCCCCGTCACTCTCACTCACTCTTGTGAATGGCAGCTCTGGCAGGTGGGGCAGGGACTGGCCCAAGGTCAAGAGAAGGCTAGAGACAGTGCTGGAGATACAACCCACCAGCCTCCAGTGCCCTCATAGAGCTGGGTAGAGCCCAGAAATCCTGGGTGCCAGGCCCCTGCCCTAACCCACTAGCCCCCACTGCCCTCCCAGAGCTGGATAGAACCCAGGAGTCCTGCCTCTCAGGAGGCACCAGGCATGGATGCGTGCAGGGTTGGGGGCAAGACTCCAGTTTCTGGGTGAGGTGGGGGGAGGGCGAGGACCACGAGGGGGGAAAAAAGCAACACAGCCAGAGAGTGTTGAGTGTCATCTTTATTGCTGGCTCACAGCCCCAGACCCTCCACAGCTGGGGAAAGCGGGGGGTAGAGCGGTATACCCCACAGCTCCTAGGACTCCCCACCCAGTGCGGGCAGTAGCTGGGACACACACATATAGGGCCATCATTAAAATTACCAACAAATCCCCAGACTGTTCCATTCCACCTGCCCCACATTAAGAGTTGAAAGTCATGGGGTATTTGTACAGGCTCCCTGCCATAAGTTATAAAGGACCCCTAAAAACAACAAACAAAAATGCCCCCTAAACGGCCAGCAAGTACATGGCAGGACACCTGGGTTCTATTGGCTGTGGGAGAGGAGTCTTATGGCCTAGGAAAAACAGTATGCACTGAGGTACAGCAATAGGGCTAGGGATATAACGCAGGAGTCCTGATTCTCTTTCCCTCTTTGGTCTAACTACTAGACCCTACTCCCCTCCCAGAGCTGGGAATAGAACCCAGGAGTCCTGACACCCATACCCGCCGGCTTCCCCCAAACCAGGAAGAAAAAAACCACACACAACACTTCAAGTGATAGCAATGTGGGGGTTAGCACTAGGCACTGATACCGCCCTGGGGTGAATGCGGAGCAGGGGGACGGATGTATGGACAGAGATATAAGCTGGGGGGCGGGTGGAGTGACTCTGTTTATTTTAAAAATCTCCAGTAGGTGGGGACTGATCCCCCAAATTTAAAACCACATCAGGGTAGCAGAGGCAGGGCACCCCACCCCAGATCATCACACGCAAAGCTGGGGGGTGGAGCAGGGTGCAGAAGTGGTGTGCTAGGAAGAGGGTCACAGTGCTGGGGGCCTGCGAAGGACAACTCCCCTCCCTCCCCTAGGGAACTGGCACATCTTCTGCCTCGTTAATAGATGGGGGACCATGGGATTTTAACCTGCAGAATGGGTGTGCCCCAAAACATAGCTGGGTGTTCACCCACTAATGGGTTGGGTGGGGGTTTATAAAGGGGGGGAATTTCTCACCCTTAAATAAATAGCATGTTATGGGGGGAGAGAGAGGGGGAAGTTAACCCCCAGCATCTCATTTCTCTGGGCTTCTTCATCCCCAAATTCCATGGAATGTGGGGGGAGGGACAGGAATCCAAATGTCCCTCTGCTTATCCTCAGCTAGGCAGAGGCAGCAGGAAGCGGCCAGTTCTCCCTGGGCAGGAGGGGGATCCCCCACACAGAGAGTGGGGAAAGGTCCCCACACACAATGGGGGACAGGCTGAGCGTCTGGGGGAAGCCAGCGCAGTGTCTGTTTGCTGGCACCCAGTGGCGCTTGGTTGGTGACGGGGGCAAGGTCAGGCAGGCCTCAGAGGGGCTATTCACGGGGATCGTCAGGTGCAGGGATTTTGTGGCGGGTGGGCTCGACACCCCAGATCTCACGGGCGTACTGCGCGATGGTGCGGTCACTGGAGAACTTGCCCGAGGTGGCGATGTTTTTAATGACCTTCTTGGTCCATTCCTTGGTGTTCTGGGGAGAGAGAGGCAGGTCAGTAGCAATCACACATGGACTGCTGGAGGATTGGGCAAGGGAGGCCAGATGGGATGGCTGGATGAGTGTCAATGGGTGGGCCGGCTGTGCTTGGGGATGGATGGAGGGACGGTGTGTATGGGGGAATGGATGGCTAGATAGAGGAGTGCGTATAGATAGATGGGTGGGCCCGAGGATGGAGGAGGGGTGAGCTCAGGGATGGATGGAGGGACAGACAGACAGAGGAGGGGAGGGCACGGGGATGGATGGATGTACAGGATGCCCAGGAATAGAACCCTGGAGTCCTACCTGCCAGCCTTCCCAGGCCACTAACCCACTAGACCCCACTCCCCTCCTCGTGCTGGGTGCAGTACCCCAGGAAGGCCACTAGGGGTGCACACTCACCCTGTAGAGGGCGCTGACATTCTCCTGGCATTTGATGTAGGCTTCATAATCCGCAAACACTTTGAACCTGGAGAGGGAGGGGAAGCAGGAGGGTGTCAGGCTGGGGGTCTTTGTGCATGCTGCCACCTGCTGCCCACAGCTCGGATTGACACCGGGAGCCTCTCGCAAGAACATAGCCAGCAGCAGACGCTCAAAGCTCTGGGGAAACCCTTCCCCCACTGCCTCAGCTCCCCCTCACTATGGGTGCACTCGTGGGAACAGAACCCAGGAGTCCTGGCTCCCAGCCCCCCTTCCCATAACCCACTAAACCCCCCTCCCCTCCCAGAGCTGGGGATAGAGCCACTGTTTAATTTGTGCCAGGGCTGAGCCCCAGCACCTCTGGGCAAGTCACTTATGAAAGTAAAAAAATTGCTTGAGCCCCAGCCCCACTTTCATTACAAATTAAGCCCTGGATAGAGCCCCCTTCCTCCACCCCACACTAGGCATAGTTGCCTCTGTCCCTTATTCCCTCCCCCCAGTGCCCCCCCACCTGTCATTGTTCATCAGCATGTTGACA